CTCTATCCAGGATCTGCATAGATCCCTCTCCAAGTGGTTGACAGTAGTAGCCAGTCACCATCTAGTTCTTCTGATCTTATAGTCATATAGGCTGAGGATCACAAGGTGTACCAGTCCCTTGGACTAATTGTTTCCATGCATCTTTGGTTTTCTTCATTCTTCTTTGCTCTGGATGAGGAGAGACCCATTGTTGCATCTAGATGGCCACTTGCAAGCTTTTAAGATCCCAGTCACTACTCGCCAAAGTAGGATGTGGAACAGTGTTTTTGTGTAGTATGTTATGCCAGTTGAGCTTGATGTCCCCTCCAGCCCTGGTCCCAAGCCCACGGGTCCAACTCCTGCTCCTTCTGGGTAGCTGGCTATGGGCAAGATGTGACTATAACCTTGTCCCTTGTCAGCTCTACTATATCAGGGCTTTGGGTAATTTAACTTGAGAAATTCAGAATTGATTTTTCCTTTCTTTAAAGTGGGGACTCATGTATTTGTCTCCTGTTAACATTTTTGTAAATCAGTGAGTCCATTTTTTTTTTCTTTCTCCTTATCAGCCACTCTCCTGACACTGTGTTATTTGATTTAACAACAAATCCTGTGTCTCTTGAGTTCCTACTATATGCCAAGAAGTGTGGTAGATCTTGGGGACATGTGAACAGAAAGATACAGATCTTGCTTTCATTGAGTTTACGATGTACTACATTTGTTTAAAATGTTTTGTTGTTGAGAAAATACACAACAGAACATAAAGCAATTCAATAATTTCTACATGTACAATTCAGTAACTCTGTTTACATTCTTTGAGTTCTGCAACCATTCTCACCCTCCTCTTATGAGTTGTTCTCTCCGGTGAACATAAACTCACTGCCCCCTAAGTTTCCTATCTAATCTTTCAAGCTGTTGTCAGTGTGATCAAACTTTTGACTGCTAACTGAAGAAAAATGTTTCGCATTGGTAACCCACTGGTCAATTGCAGTCTAGTTGACTCTGACTGATAGTGACCCTATAGGACAGAGTATAACTGCTATCAGATTTCCAAGGCTGTAATCTTTTCAGAAGCACATATTTCTCCTGAGGAGTGGCTGGTGGGTTCAAATTGCTGACCTTTTGGATACCCACTGCACCACCAGGGCTCCTTACACAAACATATATGGATGTATATGTGTGTGTGTGTGTGTGTGTATACACATGTGTATATATGACTAAAAATATCATAAACATTCCTCACTATATGTGATGCACTCTGGAATTTTGTTTTATTTTAGGTTTTTGTTTGTTTTGATTTCTGTTTTCTGTTGGTCCCACCCTACTAAATTGATTTCACAGCTCATTAATCCTAGTGGATCATAACCTGTACTTTGAGAAACACTGATTTAGTGGACTCTTCATCTTTGAGGAAAAGTCAGAAGCAGGGAAAAGAAGAAATATGAGGATGTAAATAGCAATTGTTTTTGAGTAATGGAAATCTCAAGTGGGTTTTTTCTCCTTTTTACTTTCTGTATTTTCCAAGGTTACTATAATAATATAGATAAAGAAATTTGCTTTAATAAAGGAGAAATTATGACAATATGGATTGTATATAAAACATGTTTTTTCTTTTTTCTGTCATATTAAACCGAAGAGACATTATAACATATAGTTAAGTACATAAGGCTTTTGAGACAAGCAGCCTTGAGGTTTTAATTCTGGCTCTACCACTGATTATTTGTGATTGGGGAAGACACTTAATGTTTTAGAGTATACTTTATCAGTAAAATAGGGCTAATATACCTACCTCATTAGATTATTGTGATTTTTGATTGAGTTAGTATATGTAAATCACTTAGTATAATGCCTAGCATGTAATAAATGTTTAATAAATGATAAAGTTCCTTTTCTGCCCTCACTTTTTTAAATGACAGTCTCTCAGAATCATATTTTGGCTTTTGACAGAATTGTAGGTGAAGTTTTATAAACTTAAGCTGTAATCAGACTACTTCGGTCTACATGAGAGGGGGAAAAAAAAACCTTAGTTGATGTGATAAATTTACTTAACCTTGATAGGTTTAGCATGCTTCCTGAGAAAACTTGAGCACTTAAAGAATTTGGGTGGAATCTAGTTTTCAACAAGGGAGTTTTAAAATAAAACATTTATTTCTGCATTTAAAGGGTTTATAATACACCTTTCTTCTCTCCTGTAGAAGATGCTTATAAAATTCGGATCCGTATTGATGATGAGCCTGCCAATCTGGACATTTTGGATACAGCCGGACAGGTATTAAATCCTAAGATGCTGTGAATAAAGGCTCTTACACTCTAGTAAAAGGGAGGGAAAGACTTACGCAGAGAAGATCACTAGTCCATCTCTTTTAATTTTTCATGCACTCTGACTCAGGATAGCAGGTAATCAATATATATCTCTCTTCTTTAATATGAACTAAATAGCTAATGTGTGTGTAATTCTAGGTTGTATCAATATATTAATGGCCCTTGTTTCCTTCCAGGCAGAGTTTACAGCTATGCGGGATCAGTACATGAGAGCAGGAGAAGGATTTATCATCTGTTATTCCATCACTGACCGTCGAAGTTTCCATGAAGTTCGGGAGTTTAAACAGCTTATTTACCGAGTTCGACGTACTGATGATACACCCGTGGTTCTTGTGGGAAACAAGTCTGACCTAAAACAGCTAAGGCAGGTGAGAATAGAGAAGAAAATGCTATCTGTAATCTTGTGGGATTTTTGTTACTATGTTTATGGATTCCTTTGTTCTTAAAATAAAAATTCAGAATTAGCTTCTCCTTAAACTTGAAAATGTCCCCATTTGCTTTTATTTTGAATAAAATCTGGATTATAGGAATCAGTTTATAGGACACAATCCACAAGACTATAGTCAGATGACAAATGGAGTACACATTAAATGAAGAATCATGGAATGTTCATTTTCTAAATCTTAGAAATAAATCTTTTATGTTGTATCAGGTCAGACTATAAGATGTACTTCCTGATGGTGAGGACTATGAGCCCAGGAAGGCGAGAAGAAGAGAAATTATATTTTCAAATATGTGATACTCTTTAAGTTAGCAATGATGCTTAAAATTTTACTGTTTGGTACAGAAATGAAAGTATACTGAAGTAGGCACATTCATGACTACTAGTGGAAGCAATGAATAGTACATACTTGCTGGAAAATGTTCATTGCCAGGCTGTTTATTACAGCAAAAAAATAGAAACTGTCTAAATGTCCCAAAGTAGGAGAAATTAAGGCATATCCATGATTGGATATATCCATTTTGAGTTCCTAATAGTTTTGAGTATTGTAATTTAAATATACATCTCTTTGCCTTGTGTTGTTCTTCCTTATAATGAAAAGTATGAGAAAAACTAAAATTTGCATATTCAATATATATAAGTACTCTGTTTTCCCAAAAGTTATCTTTAAAATATATTAGAAATAGAATCATAAAATTTGAAAGCAGAAGAAACCTTAAAAGTCTTGGGATCCAGTCTCCCAAGCATTACAAACATCACTGTGCTATGCTTAACCATCTCTAGAGTTGAGAAGCTCTCTTCCTGTTACTGTAGTTAGTTGCCATTGCATTGATTCCAACTCCTGGCAACCCCATGTATACAGAATACAGCTGCTTCATAGAGTTTTCAAGGCTGTGACCTTTCAAAAGCAGATCACCAAGACTCTCTTCGAGGCGTCTCTGGGTGGGTTTGAACCACCAACCCTTTGGCTAGTAATTGAGTGCTTAAACATTTGCACCACCCAGGGACTCCTCTCTTCCTGTCAAGATAGTCCATTCACTTCTTTGGATAGCTGAATTGTTTTCCACTGTTACCACTATAAACTTTTCTCACGTTTACATTTTTAAAGGTCACCAAAGAAGAAGGATTGGCTTTGGCCCGAGAATTCAGCTGTCCCTTTTTTGAGACATCAGCTGCTTACCGTTACTACATTGATGATGTGTTCCATGCCCTTGTCCGGGAGATACGTAGGAAAGAAAAGGAGGCAGTATTGGCCATGGAGAAAAAGTCTAAACCCAAAAACAGTGTATGGAAGAGGCTAAAATCACCATTCCGGAAGAAGAAAGATTCAGTAACTTGAAGGGAAGATGTGAAGTATTTATCTGTGAACTGCAGTGCTTAATCAAAGCAGTCCAGTAACCTGCATTAGTGAGCATGGTGCTTGCTCTTTCTCCTGTTATGACTGTTATTTTTAAAGTAACTGATGAGGGCCATGTCTACTAGGAGTTTTCAATGATGTGGTATTTAAAGTATTGTCTTAGTTAATTCTGATTTATTAACCCAGTGGAGCATTGTCTACTTTTAAATTGTCACATTAGAATCTTTGGGTCCCATTGTTGATACTAATTGATTAGTGTAAATTTTTTATACCCAAGGGAATGTGTATACCATGTGTTTTACTCTCACAAGAGAAATATTTTTCTGTGCAATCATGTTATCTTTGAACTTCAGTTTCCCTGGGACTATCCCAGAGAAGGACCTCAATCTTTTTATTCACGTTGTCCTTTCAAAAGACAGAACAAAAATTATACAGGGAAATTCAGTGAGATCAGTGCTAAAAGTTAGGAAGTAACTATGAAACTGACTCTTGTTGCAGATTATGAAGTGATGAGATTCAGGGAAATTGGACCATGTGTTTGCAGGGACTTGGCTAAGAAAAGAGAGGACCAGAACAGCATTCCCAGTATGACCTAAGCTCTTAGGATGGGTGAAATAAATAGAAGCATATAAAATAGCATTGACGGTTTCTCCTATAAGGTTATTTTAATCTTCCTTTCTGGGTTTTACCTTTATTAACCTTTAAAGGTAAACACTTTGGGAACCATTATTGATCACTAAGCTTTTGTTTCATCTAAATTCTTGGTTTGGACAGCCATCGTCTTGTACAGGTTCTTTTCCACCCAGAGATGCACACACCAGTTCATTTACATTAATTGCTTCCTAATGTTTTCCCATAGCTTCACTCTGCTCTTGAGAAGAGCTAGGCCTGGCAAAATGATTTTGGGGCCTTTCCTCAGACTGATTGCATTTTCCATACTGAAGAGAAATCAAGAGCTTAAGGAAAATTTTATGTTTCTCCTTAACTTTGATGACCTCTAAACTCAACTCTAAGAAAGCTTGTATTTTTATTTAATGGGTCAGTCTTGAAGCTTTAAAATTCACATATATTGAGTTTCCCATGGAAGACTTCTTTAGAAGGATCTTGCTAAGTTCACCTCAGATTTCTGTGAGCTCTGACAAAGCATAGCCTAAGAGAATACTGCTTTGCTGCCTGTGCATAGTAAGAAACAGTTAATTTAGGAAGAAACAGCTTTAAATACTGGTGGTGAGTTCTGTGTTTTAGAATCAGGATTATTTTGATATCTGAACCTGGTATATGTGGAGATTAAATGCAAAAGTGCTAAGAGTAATGTCCCACTTATGGAACATTAAATGTCACTGAAGCAGTGTTTGTGTCTACTTTAACCAGATGAATTTATGTAATAGCTCTTAAAAAGCACACAGTTCAACTACTATTTTCACCTTTTCTTAGAGGCCGAAGGAGGACAGGGTTGTTTTCTCCCTGTAAGTAATGGTAAATCTTTTAGATTCAAAGAAAAGTGACTATTGTAATTTTTTGTTTAGCTCTGTGTAGTAGTCCCTTTTAAAACTCCTAGAAACATTTTTGCTACCAAATAAATTGTTTTATGATAGTCAAGCCATCCAAAAGTAAAAAGACCCAGAATTTAAGTCTGCAGAACAGAAATCTTACTGGAATCTTAGCACTTTGGAAAAGCATGAAGATAGGAAAGAAAATAACAGTGCAATCTATTATATCAGTATTTCACCACATTTAAACTAGCTTAGAGCCTTTTAAATGTAATGCCTTAACTTCTTATTACTAATGATCTAGGGAATAGTTATTAGAATCAAGCAATAATGGGTGTATAATTATCCAAGATAGTCAAATAGCAGAAAACATTGTCAGAAAGATCTGTAAGATAGGAGGGGATTTGTATTGTATATTAGAAAAATAACAAAATAGTGTTTTTAAGATGATCATTGTCATGTATTTGACCTTTAGATTAATTAATCCATCAGTTAGTATTGAGAATTCTGTACATGGTGCTAGATAGTTTGAGGGGTATAATATGTGTAAATCATATCTTTATACTTAGTGATCATACATTGTAGTTAATTTATAAGCTCTAAATCAGCTTTATCCCAATTTGAGGGCATTAAAATCATTTACTGCCTGGAACTTTGAAGAGACAAAAATTCAGGGAAAGGTTGGAAGGCACTGGAACTATTCATGTCCATACCAGATCAGTAAGTTACAAGATTTAGAGGCTTAGGCTAATGACTGGCAGTAGCTGTTTAGAATTCAGAAAGGAATATATATTTTAATTTGATGATATGTTAGCAAGAATTGGTCTACTGTGATGTTTGGGGGGGTGGGGTGAGAAAACCTTTTCACTTATGTACTTGTATTTGAAGATAGTTTGTATGATACAATATAGAACTTTTAAACTACTTTTTGGGTTTTTTCTTCATTCACCTATGGTTGGATAGAAACGTTTGGACTCTTTACTGCAAACGAGCCGTTTTAAGGGGGTAAAAACCATGAAATTTTATATTCTGGAAAATATTGATTCAAAAAAATCTGAATATCCACCATGTACAGAACACCTGTGTCAGGTGCTAGGGAGTATGTCAAAGAAACACCCCTTCATTCAGAGAGATTACCTCTTGGGTGGAGAGACAGGAAAAACACATTAAAAAAGAACATTTATCACCTGATCAAAGGTTAATTAAGGTTGTTTCAAGTATATATGCTAAATGTGAGAGAGTGAAGAGTAGTTTTTTGTGGGAAGATTCATTGCTTATCTCCATCAGTCTAAATTGGCATCAGTATTGGTAGATGGATTTAGTTTGGACATGAATGTATTTTTGTGTTTTCATTACTCAACATTTATTGACTAGATCAATTGTGAGTTGAAAAACCAGCAGCGGAAGAGGTGACATTCCATTTTCTAATGTAACCTCTGTTAAGCAATTGAATTACAGAGAAATATAAGCCTTTTTTGTGCATTAAACTGAGGAATTCAAAGGACTGTATGATCCCTGCTCTGGAAAGTAGATGTAATGCAAAATAACTAGACATCAGTCTTAAAATAGATTATATGCTTCAAACTGGGACTATGATAGGAATTCAGAGAAGGAGGTGATTAACATGGCCTGTTACATTTAAGGGGAGTTGGCTCCTTAAGTGTTAATGGAAGAAGAGCAGCTTAATTTAATCCGAATAGAATAATAAAGTTGAGATGTATGAATTCTGAAGTTTCTTCTCATTCCTGATATTTATTCTATGTCTAAAAATTTCTTGAATAAATTTAGTAAACTGATAAAGAATTCATAGTTTACGCCTTTCCCATACTCAGTCTTGAGAAGGGTGAGACAGAGTAGTGCAGTGAATTACTTGATAAGGCTTTTCTAGCCATACGTAGTCTTTGTAACGCCCACCAGATTACTGGGTGGGACCATACAAATAAGGTGTGTAGAACTCTGATGTTGGGATTGGTTAGTTTTGTCACTGCCTGGCTTAAAATGAGCCCTCCTAGATGCAGAGAGGGGATCTCACTGCCACCAAGAGAGAAGAGCTGGAGGTGAAGTAGAGTGCATTCTTGGCCCTGAAATCCTGCACTGGACTTCTTTGGCAAAGATGCCCTGGCAGAGAGAGATGCCCCAGCAGAGAGATACCCTGGCAGAGAAATGGTCTCAGTGAAACCCAAAGGCACAAGACAGCGGCAGGCTTACCTGCCCCACAGAGCAAGAAAGCTGAGTGCCCTTAGGCAGGAGGCTTGCTGGCAGGGTGCAGCGCACCTACATGTACCAATCCAGCAGTGCTAAAAGAATGTGGCAACACTTGCCCAAGCAGGGCAGAGGCCAGGCTGAGAGGTCAAGGGCCAGAGGGGGGCATGCCTGAGGGCATAGCAGAGGGGAGACTGTCGTGATCAAAGAATTGTATTCCTGAACCTGAATTGTAGCCTGTTACTTCCCTAATAAACCCCATAATCACAAGTATTGCCTGTGATATGCCATTAAAAAAGTATTGAACCCAGCAGAGAAGTAGTGAGTGGCGTAGGAGGGATGGTTGGTGTCAGAAATGGTAAAAGGCTGGAGGGTGATGGCATGACTGGCCTCATAGGAATAAGCCTTGGGGTGCTGATGGTGGTTCTGTCTTCCTCTTGTGAAGTTAGAGGAGGTCAGAAGATGCTGCCTCCATGCCCTTTTTGCAAAGTAAACATCTTTTTAGGAGCCCTTGTTAAATTTGACAAGCAACTTTAAATGATGGTTCAACGCTGTGAAAATGTTGGATTTGCAGTAATTCTGGATTTCCTTCTCTTCAAATTAAAATTTATTTTCAAATTATTCTTCCCACGTTTCATCAGCTCAGCTGGAACTGAAACTTAAGTGATACAACCTTATAGGGAAGTAGTTAGAATTCCTGGTTATCTGATTAAAGAAATTATTCATCCTGTCTTCAAAATATCTCTAAATGTTCTCACTGCAAAAATTAATTTTGCCTTTCTCCCTTCTTGCCAAGAATTGCTGTGAATTTAATTTCCCTATTATCTATTCTTTTGTGTAGCATAAATTAGAATAAATAAAGGAGCAACTGTATTTGAGTTTCATGCAGAAGTTTTAACAGATTTTTTCAGTGAAAGGTGAGAGATGGTTTCATTACTATTCTTGGATTATCAGTTAACTGTCAGGTGCTATTTACCTTTTTGGATAGACTGCACCCATCTCATAAAGAAAGCTACAGCTGCCTTAGTTCTCTGCAGAAAGGACATTCTCTTTTGAAGTGTTGACTTGCTGCCTATTTGGCATCACTAGGAACATGAGATCAAGTATGGCCTGGAGGAACCAGGATGGATTTTAGTTTTTAGGAAAATGTCAGACAGCATGAGTCAACCCATCTCTATAGAGCCTTGCAGATCTGTATTTCCAATGACTGATACAGATGGTAAGAGCTGGTATCCAGCCAGTTTCCTTGAGCTAAATAAATTACTTAGTTAACCTAACTAAGGACTCGTAACACGTGGTTTCTTCTAAAGGGTTTACCATTGTTGATTGGAAAGAAAGGGCAGTGAATAGGTCACATTAAAAAGACAGATTACATTGAAAGGTCTAAAATTATTGATAGGTGGAATTGGACCATGAAGATTTCTTTCTTTTTTTAAATGGCATATCTTTTTTTTTTTTTTTTAATTTTTAGTTTAGACCATGATGATTTCTTGAAATTGTAGTTTGAAGAAGAGGAAAGTTGTGTCATAGTACAACAGAAAAGGCAAGAATCATACATATAACTTAGATGCAGGATTTGAGAG